AAAAGAAAAGAAAAGAAAAGAAAAGAAAAGAAAAAGAAAAGAGACTTTAAAGAACTTTACAGAGTTGACAAGCCGTAAGCCAAATTATGCTACTTTTTTGGTATGTCTGCCTCTCCTGAGCTGTTAGAGCAGGTGTAGATGAGCTGAAGAGAATGTGACCCGAGAGACACACGCTGCCCTTCCCACTGCACACCGCCACACTCCTCGTCCTCACTGAGAGCTGCTCAGCCCAGCAATGTGAAATTGGCACCGGGCTGCTTTGCAAGTGACGCCAGTTTTTTTAACCCTTTGTTTTTCTGCGTGTTTACTCTGTTATGCACAGCCAAGGCAGCAGAGGGAGCTCAAAGATTTTGGTCATCAGCAAGAGACCCCGGGAGACCCGCACAGGGACGGACACTGCCAGGGGCGCTTGCAGGGACAGCGAAGGACAGGGCTCGATATATTCAGACTTCTTTAAAGCTGGTAGATTAAATGCATGTCCCATTAGCAGATGGTAGTTTTAAATACAAGGTATCAGTGGCCAGGTTTTATTTTGCACTTGTGGCTTACTTAACCTGTTCTGTTTGCAGTTTAGAAAAAGAGGTATTTATCAAGGATTTAAAAGTCCTTTTGGAGTCTAAAAAATTTGTTCCAATGAGTTAAGACATTGGTACCTGAATTTTAAGGAATACAGTAAATTCAATTGATGAAATAGTGAAAATTGAAGACATAGTGAGCTGCAGTGAATCTACTTTTGTTAAACCGTGCAGAAATTCAGTCTGTGAAATAATGCAAGATTGTTTTCATTGTCATTTAAAGGTAGAAAGATATTCATGTGTTTTAGAAGTTCACTGTCAGTGTTAGGGAGAAGAAAATCTAATAAACCACACAACTGAATGTCCTATCTAGACAAAAACATTTGTTCTTCTGCAAAGAAAGATTTGAGTCTCTGAGAGGTCATCAAGCAGCTCACAATAAGTAGAAGCCTGTTTTGAGCTGTATCAGTGAATACATTATTAACAGAAAACAAGCATCATGAAGGTCAAGGTTGTGCTTTAAAGTCCAGTTTTTGAATGCATAAAAACAAGAGAATGAAAAGCCTTGTGGTTCTGGCTAGGTTTGGTATTTTCTTTAACACATGACATTACCTGGAACTATTTGTTACAGACCCGGTAATTATCTCCCTTGACTGTTTGAATTTGCTTTCGAGGTAGCACAGAGTAGAATGTAGTTTCATTACAAAATAGAAATATCATACTAACTTAACTAACTTGCACTGAAAGGAAATGTTTATAATTCTCTGGTTCTGGAGAGAAAATACATTTGAGATGTGAACTTGGTCATCCTCTTCCTAATCTCAAGACAATTTTTGTGTGTTTACAACTCCAGTTTTGTATATGTCCTTTATATAGCAATCGAGTGGCTAGGTCTTTGCACTTTACTGACCTTGTGGTCTGTCTCCTCTCTTGGACCAGATTCACTCATCCAGACATTAGGAAGTAGCTGTGGAACACTGTTCTAATCATGTGGGTATTGCTTAATCCTCTGATTGAACCTGAATAAATCTCTCTGGATGCCCTGTCAATCTGTTTGGGATTTGCAATCTGGAAAGGCCCCCAAATACAAATTAAAGCAGTTTTCCATCTGAAAAAAATAATCTACCTCTCTCAGTAACATCTACTACTATGTTCCAAGGTAGGTAAAGAACAGGCAGTTATTAACACCACTTGGAGCTAGAGGGCATAAATATTTGACTATATGAATTTTTCTTATTGTTTTCCTAACTACAGGTCTTTGGTTACATTAAGTTTTTTTGGCAGGTTTTTGTTCGTTTTGGTTGGGTTTTTTGATATTTTTGGGGGTTTTTTGTTACTATATCAATTCAGTTCTGTCATTCCAAGTACATATTCTGACCCCTGAAATTGCTGGGATTTCAGAGTGTTTTCTATATTTGGATCTTACAAACTCCCACAGTTGTTCTGTCATGTCTCTGTATTTTAACCTTTCAGTGAGGTTATCCTGGGGGTTTTCATCAATTCACAGTTCAATATCTAGTTTACACTCTGACCTCTTCTCCTTATTTTGTTAAAATCTTATTTTTTTTGTACTGTGTCACCTTTCTTTCGTCAGTAGACAAATTTTAAATGTAGGTACAAAAGCATGCAATCCACTTCTTTTTATTCCAAATTTTATATACCAGTTCAAAGTTTTAGTCATTCTGTTATTTCAGTGCAATGACTCTGTGGAAGAAGGACTTTTAAAATAAAGTATACATCTCCATATGCACTGTATATGATGAAATTTAAAAATATTATTAACAAAGTGGCTTATAATGAATTAGCACTTTTGACGTTAGAAAGGTGGAACATTATGGAAACTAATATCTATCTAATAATTATTTAATTGCAACTGTCAAATAAAACTTGGGGAGAAAAAAATAATTTAAAAAACCCAAAACTTCTACCCCTGGTTTTACTTCTACTTGTGTGTTATGGTATAATGATGAAATTTTTGTTATAAAAAATCAATTGCCAAATTAGGAATTCTCACTTTCCATTCTCAGAAGTGAATCTCCTTCTTTGCTTAGTTCCAGGTGAAGAGAAGCCCTAGCTAGCTTTAGAGCCCATGCAACATATTTAATTTGAACTTCAAACATTGACTGAGTTAAAATATCTTACCATGGTCGTCTCTGCAATGGATCCAAAGCTGTTTATAAATATGTTGCATGTGACATTAACTGGAGGACCTGCAAAAGAGAAAAAAAACCTCAGTAGTCTCTGTTCTAGAATTATTGCTTATTGATTGATTATTCAATATAAACCATTGAAGAACAATATTTACTGGCTTTGGACGAAATAATGCTACATTCACAACTAATTTAATGCACGATTAAATTGAATGGTTTCTAATAATTTTCCTTTTGATTTTTCACAAAGGAACACTACTTATCTGGCCAGGTTTAGCAACTAAAAAAACTCACAGCAACGAAGTTCAGTATAAACCTGCACACATCCTTCTATACAAAAAAAAAAAAAAAAAACCAAACAAAAAACACCATCCCATTTGAAATATATAATAAAAAGATTTTATGTGTATTTCAGTAAGAATGCATGTCACTTCTCACAATGATTAGGGGAAAGTGACTTTCTTCACTCAAGGCAGCTTCTACCTTCAAGGTTATCTGTCATCACTGTTAAAAGAAATGCATTATTGCTGCTCTTATCTCTACTGCTTACAGGAAAGTCATTTAGATTCTCTTCCCACTTCTCTTAAATTCACAAAATGTTTAAGAGTCTATTTATAACTGAATTCTTTGTTACCACGGGTCCTCAGTCAACTGTTGTTTTGTCTTATCTTTCATTTTGTAGTATCAGTAGTGGCAGAGCAGTCATTATGATAACTGAACAATGACTTGCCTTTTCATGGAAATGAGTTTAAATTATTTTCTAGAAGTCTCTTTTAAAATATCATTGTGAAAAAGCATACTAACTTCTCCATTATTCCTTATCAATTTCAGTCTGTGTCCAATAGAAACTAGGTTTTTCCATCTCAAGTTTTTTGTTACCTTCCTACCACTCAATATTCTTATATCAATAAACCAGTTCAGCATTGGAGAACCTGGATTCTTTTTGTAGTTTTAAGCAGTCTAACGATGGGAGATCTGTATCTGGAATATGGAGACTGGTCTCATAAACCTTTATGCAATAGCTCTTCTTTAGTGTCACTGGTGGTTTGGAACTAGCAAAATCTAGCATGACCAATAAATTTTACATTAAATACTTGAAGAATCAGAATGCCCATTAGAAGTTCTACCACTATGACAGAGCTTGGAACATCCAGCTTTCTTCCTTGACAGCAAAATGGTTGTGAAGTGCTGTACAGCAAATCTAACAAAACACTTCTACACGTACTTCAGTCTTTGCAATACACAAGACTATACCTATGGAGCAGGTAAGGAGGTAGCATTTGCAGTCATTTTAGTATGCAGGTATTTATTTAGAGTTGTTGAGTATATCCAGTATTTCTGAGAATTCAGTAAAAGCTTTACAAGCTCAACTCCTGAAAAGGATCAAGGGAAAAGGAAAAGCAGGGACGATGAACAAAGGCAGTCACTAAAAGCTGTCAGGGAGAAAATTGTACTTCTTGCCCATGTTAGTAATTTGTTTGAAATGCACCTTTTCTTTCAAACAATTCCATGTTGTAGTACCTGCCATCCTTTCAGATTCGATGTGATCCGATCTTGTTTAAAATACTTTAAAATATGTTTGCTTTATCAATATAGTTGCTTTATTAAGAAAAAGCTCCAAATCACTAGTGATTATGCCTAAATTCAAATTACAATAAAACAGTTAATAACTAGTTAAAAGAAGCACAAAAGTAGACGCTAAAAGTAGCATGCAAATGTCTTCGTTAACTGAAAGACACTGTGCTGAGAGTAAAAATGAACTTCCCAAAACATGGTCAAAAAGAATCACAAATGAGAAGCTGTAAAAGCTGGAAGTCATATTCGAACACAGGAATTCAGGCAAGTTGAACACAGATTAAAGAGAGGCAGAAAAGAAAAAGAGCTAAAACTCACTAGAGACAGAAAAGCTAACAATGATCGCTATCTACAAGGTGTTAAAAATAGAATCCTGCCAAGATCTGAAAACTGAAAGAAGATGATTAAGGTACAAAAGTATCCATGGAAGTGGAGAAGGTCAGAGCAGAAAAGCTAAATGAAGCCTTTGTTGCAGCATTTGTCTCCAAATGCTGGCTGTGTCAAATACCAGAGCCCTTCTGCTGGAATTTTGTATGAGGACTGTAGAAGACATTTCAGACCAAGTGAACAGGAACAAACTGACTGGCTGAGGTGATATAAATTCAGACATTACAAAAATCTTTGCGAATTGTGGAAATACAATTCACAATTCACAGCTATCACCTGTGTCAATTTTGTAATCAGTGGAAATGTGTACCATGCCTAGCAAGTATAACTTGAATTAAAAAAAACCCAAAAAACAAACCAGATTTCATGTATGATGGTGGGGGACATGAACATGAACTTTATCCCTGCAAACCTTACCTCTGTACCAAACTGTAGAAATAATGAGAACTTTTAAAATTATTAGATACAGATTAATATTATATATAAATTCAGTATCCAATAATCAATAGATTATTGTACTTATATATTAGCGAGAAAGATGTCAAAAAGGATCAAAAATTCTATGGAAAGCTGCCACACAAAATCAGCTTAAGTAGAAGAGGACCCTTCACACTGGAAAAGGTATACAGTAGGCAGTAATCTGCAAATATACAAATTTGTAAAGATAAAAAGGAAGTAATATTTTTCCATGCCTTATGTCACATAGCAATAAAATCAGTAAAATAATCAACAAATTTAAAGCAAACAAAAAAGTTATACTTTTTAATAATTCAAAATACAAAGGTTTTATAGCCAGAAAATAATGAAAAGGCCAAAAATATACACAGATTCCAGAAGGGATCAGGAGAACTATGCGACTAAATTTTTTTTTTTTTTTCAATTAAGTCCTGGCTTCCAAAGCTTCTAAACTGATGATTGCTGAAAAATGTTTGCCATTAGCAAGGCAAGTAACACTTTGCATTTTCTTCTGTAAATGCCAATTTTTTACTTAAATATTTAAATTTTTTACACCTAGGTTACATAATTGTGTCCAGATTTGAAAGGCAATGAAGTATGTTCCATATTTGCAGGAATGGATGTTGTCTGCAATGTGGACATTGAGTAATGAAAGCACCTTGCTATAGGTTTGATGCAATATTAAAAAAGTAAAATTGCAACTGGAACAAAGCTTTTACAACGATTATCAATTTCCTATTGTATTCCATAGCTGAATAAGTACCATGTCTTCTCTATTATATTTTTTGAACAAGAACTCATATGCCTTATTCCATATCCAAAAGCACAGCACATAGACACAATATATAATTTTGTCTTCTTGATCAAGATTAATTTTGAATAAAATTGGTAACTAAAAATCTTGTCTGCATAGGAATTTTACTGGATTAATGATTTAAAATTAAATTGTTTAAAACGTCTGAGTTATCTTATTGTAGTTATCCTCTTTCTTTAAAACTATCACCAGTTTAAAACATCAAAAAGGCAATAAGCCCCAGCACTTGTTGTAGGAGTAATTAAACTAATCAAAAAGTGGTTAAGTCATGCTTAAGGTAGGTCTGAATCACTGTGGGCAGATCTATTCAAACTGCATAGCTGTCCACATGATTTGGAATGTACACTTTTTGAAAAGGAACAATGTCAAATTAGGTTTTGTCTCTTTAAGTTTCAACAGTTACAAAACAAAGTTCTAAATCCTTTAAATTATACTTTCAAGAATTGTTGCATTTAATTTCGTAGTCTCTAAACCATCTGCCTATTGTTCACTGTTGCCTCATCAGAAGATTGTGATTGGATGCTATCCATGACAAACTATAAAATTCAATCCCCAAATCATATAGAGATGTGCTTGAAATTCCAGTGTACTTTTATAGCTTCCTGAGAAATATCAGCATCACTAACTTAAAAAAAAGCAAAGCATTTCCAGCTGCAGTAAATCCTGGTTAATAAGTTTATATATACACAACCAACTGTTTATGGTTTGCTGATGAGGAAGTAATCTGACAAATCTCTTACATGGTCCTTATGAATCAGACTGGGCAAATTCTGGTAAAACCAGCACATAGCAGTGGCTTTAGAGTCAAAACCACTTAAGTTTCTGGAACTTGGAGATGTCAAAAAATTATAGCATTTCTTGCTGAATAAGAATTAAGATGGAAAGGCAGTGACAGATGACTTAGAGGAGAAAGCACTGCCAGCTTGAAGGAAAATTTTTGTAGTAAACATGGAATAAAGCCTTATAGTGAAATGTTAGAGCTAAGAGCATCTCTTGGACTTAAGAAGATAGACATAAGAGAAAGCAACTAATGCAAAGTAAGAATAATATAATTTTTAATTACAATAGATTTATTTCAAAACATTATTTATATTCTGGGTAATTTAAAAACTGATACCTTGTTTAAAGATTCAGTAATAGAGTTAAATACTTCACTATAACATTGTAACTCCTTGTTTTTTAAAAAGAAAGAATAGTCAAATTTACCTAAACTTCCCTGATGACAAAAGTCAGAATGAATGGCATTTGTCTGTATGATGCTTTGCATAGCCATATAATATGGCTTGTGTAATCCTTCATTAATACCCTAACGTGCCTGAGTCTGAATAATATACTAAGTATCTCAGGAGATGTAGTCATTCCATTTGGAGACTTTGCTGTGTGAGTCTTTGAATCTGCTTTGTTTTAATTGAATCTCCTTTGTGAAAAGTGCATAAAAGGCACAGGCCAAGACAAAATTGCATGCATTGAGAACTTTCAATTTCAATTCTGGAGAACTGGGAACAGGGAAAAGAACAAGAGGAAAGATGGTCCTTTTGGCTTTTCAAGGCACAAATGGGGCCTAGGAGTGAAGAATATAATTTGGTGGTAGAACTGGTAACTAAGATAAGCTGTCTGGAGTTGGATGGTCAATGTCTTTAGAACCAGACAGATATAAAGATTTGGCTAATCTTTCACAGAACTTGCTTTCTGTACTGTTTCATGCTATGGCAATCCAAGGTGGGAATCTGAATCCATCAGTAAGCATTTCAGGAAAGAAAAGAAACTAATGAACCAGATTAGACAACTCAAATCTAAGGATAAGGTGTATTTACGAAAGGTATGCAATGGGGCAGCTGTGAACGTGGCAGGTGTAGGGTGTATTGCTACTAAACTGCCATACGTACAAAAGAAAGGCAAAAGAAGGATTTTTTTTCCCCAGTGAATGTACTTCTTAGTTTTTCATATTTATTTCATAAATTGCATTTTTGTGAGCAGTAATACTGACATATTGAAAACTTCAAAGTTTAGTTTTGAAATTACCTTTGAAATTTGGTCTGATCCTCGCATCATAGCCTGACATCCTACCCATCAGCTTATCCAGGAAATCAGATGGTGACATTGGCATGCTACGAGATCTTGCACTGTCTGTTTCCTTTGTGGCTACCAAGCTAACAGCAAGGGAAAACAAACAAACAAACAGACAAAATTTGTTAGTTTTGTTAGCAAAAAATATTGATTTTATTTAGTCAATCACAGTTAATTTTTGTAGGAACAGGAAAACAGGAAAGCTAAGACAGTCTTTCTAGCTAGTTAATACTTCAAAAATAGTACCAGCAAAGAAATTGAAACAGTAAGTTCTTTCTATAGCTGTCATTTAATACATAAATTTTATTCTGCTATGCTGCACAGTTGTAGGTTACTTCTTCCTCAGAACTTCTGAAGATTAATAATACTTTCCATCAGCAGTAAACAATATCATTATCACAGAGTTAAATAATGCCATCTACAGAAGTAGCTCTGTATGTGGAATGTCATATTTTGGAGTATATTCTGAGACTGATCAATTTTAACTGGGTGTGCTGTGATAGAGGCCTGGATCAGAAAAAAAAAATAAAGTACTAAGGATGAATCTTGATTAGAATAGTACTACTATCACCAGTTTTTGTTTTATGATGATACGTAACCATAATAAAACATCAGTCTCTTGGCAGGTGGTATTCTTAAATTGTCTTAGAGTTTCATTTTCTATTAAAAAAAGACTGCTACAGTGGATACAAAAACAAAATAAAACAAACCAAAAAACCCTAACAACTTACTGACTAAACTATTTCAGGACAAACTTTTCTTGTCAGGGCCACGTGACAAATGCCATCTCCTATAGCTTCCTCTTCATATGCATGCAAAACTCCCACTGACATTCTAAAAACTGTGTTCTGCACATGCTAAGAGAGCAGAGTAATGGCACTGTGATCAACCATGGCAGCCAAAGGAAAAGTCTTTGTTTTGTGGAACAACTCTTACTTGAGTGCTGTCTAACACACTGGAAAAATAGAACAGTCTGAAAATCCATAAATTTAGAGTACCATTGTCACACACGGTGCAAATGAAACCATTTGTGGCTTTTGGAGTCTCAAAACAGATAAAAAGCTTTGCATGTTTGTGCGGAACTGAAGTAAAAATCTGTTACAGAAAGACTTAAATCTCTTTTACTTACCCAATTCATTGTCTCCATATAAATTCACTCTTTTAGAACTACTTAAATATGCTTTTGTTTAGCTGTAAATGGAGGGAATAATGTAAAGCCTTTAGGGATTTTCTGACTCATAAAAAACCCATGCTAAACTTTGTTTCTTAACAATGGATGGAATAAAAAAATGGAAAAAATCCATACAGGTATGTATGTATGCAGAGGGCATGTGGACCTCAGACTGAGAACGTGATTTCTTTCTTTTCAAGACTATTTTACTCAGGATGTTAAAAGTCACAGTTTTATAGAAACTTCCATTTAGAAGGTCTGCTATAATTTTTGTCTTCAAGTTTGAAATTTGGATTTGTTATCTTAAATAAAAAAAAATTCATATTAGTCCTTGAAAACTACAAATTTTGGCACACATAGAATATGAACATAAAAGCCTCTAGAATGCTATGGTTTGCTCATACTTTAATTAAAAATGGAAATGAAATCTTTTAGTTGTAATATTAAATCAGAAAGTTAAATTTTGTTCTTGAGTTTATTTGCTTAGCTAGTGTTTATACTATTCTATGTGTAAGTTGATTTGTATATTCTTAAGTAGTTCATAAAGTGTTAAATTGTTGATATTTCTAAATGGCTTTGAATATTTTGTATCTTTCAGTAAAAAAAGTTTTTTTACTTTCCTTCAATAACTAACCTAGTTCTTTATTTCTTCCCATAGTTGCAGAATATATTTCCATTCCTGAGAAAGTAAGTATTCAACATATTCTTTTTATAGTTCAGTTTGAAATTATCCTATTGCCATAGTTTTCATTATCAATCATTGTGAATGGATCTGATTCATCACAACAATAACTACAAGTTATTACAACTTGTAGTGATTAATGTTTCTGTAAAACATCACTAACGTCTATAAAGCAAATAAAATACAAGAGTCAGATTACCCTTTGTTGGGTATTATCTACTTGGAAGGCAGGAGAATTGAGTTACTGTGTGTATACACTTAGTATATACACTTAAACACTTAGATTTCATTCTAGCAGTCTTCTATAAGGAATTTATATTTCTATTCTGTAGGTATATAAAATTTCTATACTACAGGATATACAATCCTATATTTTTTATTCTTAATATACATAAATTAGCCAGAACACAAATACAGAAAGGACCATTGTTACTTTGAATATCATTTTCTGGAAAAGAAGAATTTGTTTCTTAGCACTTTTTTTACTTCACTGAACCTTTTGTAAATCTTTCCTTGTACTTGTTGTTCTGGCTTTGCCATGGAATAAAGTACCTTGAAATTAAGGTAACTAATGCTGACTGGGAAAAACAGTAATTGCTGCTACTATGGATCTTCTCAAAGTGACATTTACCTTTTTATATGGCAGCATCATTAATATTTGCTTTCATTAGTCAATCTTAAGTCTCAGAATATCTTGAATAATTTAATGCCTGCTTATGAAAAGAATACATTCAGCATAATTAATACCTTTTGTATAAACAAGTTTTATCTCAAAAGGCAGCTGTAATTTGCAACTAAATATTTCTTCAAAGAATATTTTCCCTTTTACTAAGCTTGGGGTGTAATGAGTAAAAGCTGGTTGAGTTCTGCAGAATTCTGCCCTTTTGATTTAAATTTTATTGAAAATATGTATTTCAGTAATACTGTTGAACAAATAAAACTGTCGTCAATCAAAGCTGACACGTGGAATACTTGTATACTTATAAAGGAGCTACATTTGGTAATGTAGTAAAACCTGAGTAAAGCAGTGGATTTCAAGAAGGGATTTTCTGTTTCCAGATTAATATAAAAATTTACACTGCATGCAAAGTAAAGGCTCTTCAGTTTTATTCCATACTGCCTCTGAAAGATAGGCCTCTGGCTAAGAGGTTAGAGGAGGGTATACTCCTTCCACGAACTAAGAATTGAGCTTCTTTTAGTGTTAATAATGCACATAGCTTCGTCCTCAATACACAACTATTGCATAAGTCCAGGAATGGCTTTGCGTGCCTCCAGAGGGAATTCATTCTGGCCTGTCACAGGTCTTTAAAAAATTTGTACATGCATTTTCTAACGGGTAGAATTATAGGAATTTAATAGCAGCAAGAGTATCAGCAAGGTACCATGGACTTGTGTTTAGCATAAAGTCATGATGTGACTTTAAATTACTGAGAAAGAAAGCTGTACACTTTTTTCTGAGGTAGAAACTTCCCATTGCCGAAGTCTTTTATTGGAGAGAGATTATAACCTTCTAGTCTGTTCATATTTTATGTGGAAAAGTTACCAACATGAATGCTCTCCTTGGTAGTGATTCTGAGTTGTTCCTGTGAGCTATTGGCAAATATTACTAACAGTTTTAAGGATTTATACAATTTTCCAATTTCAGACTTAGAACAGTACTTGACTTCAATTTCCTGGATGTATCCCAAACACCTTTAAAATATAAATTAGGCCTTCAAAAACAATTGAAATTTGATAACTAAAATTGTGAACAAGAATCAAAAAATGAAAATATTAACGATGCATTCAAAAATTATTTGTGACCAGACAAATTTACATCAAAACTTAGGGTAAGAATTTTTGTTTCAAATAAGCTGTCACACAAAACCAGGCAAGATCAGAAAATTAGAATCACAAAGACTATAATTACTCTTGTCTCTGATCTATTCTGTCCATTAACTTATTTTTTCACCTAAAATCTGAGGAGAGATGAGCTTTGCATCAATGTCTTGAAGCCTGTCAAGTTGGAATTTCAATCACTGAGATAGGAAACTATCCTAAATCACAGGTTCTTTACCTACAAAAAGCCATATTTGAATCAGAAACAGTTAGGTCAAGCTGATGATGTTTCAAGCGGGATATAAATGTTGGAGAGTAAGAAGCAGCCTGACACAGACCAGATGCAGCTTCTTTAGACCAGCTACCACATCCTAAATTTCAGAAAGCTACTTGTAAGAATGGTGTTCAGCAATGCCATCTATAATCTGCAAAGAAAATGCAAAGCAATTGATGGCTTAAAACTAAGAAATGCAAAAAGAATTGACAGAGACATAAATTCTGATGATATGAAGAAAACAACCTCTTTGCTAAAGTCAGCCGATTTAAGTAGAAGAGTTTAAAACAATTAGAGTTAGGATATTAAGAGATGTATGAACTGTGAGCTTGGGCAGAGCTGGAGAAAACAGTGAAGAAGGACTAAGAATCCCTCAAACAAGTCAGCACTGTTGTGGTAAGGTTCTCACTGCGCTGCTGTGTTATCCAGTGGTGTGGAAAGATTGAAAGAGTGAGTAGAAGCATGAAGGTCACTTATTATTTTATTCGATATTAATGAGACCAGTTCTGGGATGTTGCATCAAATTCCATGTCCGAGTTTTAAAAGGACGTTAAAGCATTTGGAAAGGTACTGAACAAAGCCACTAAACCATGACCTGAGAGTTAAGGAAATTTGCTTCAAGTAAGAAACTTTAGGAGCTTAATCTGCTTAGTTTATCAAAAAAGAAGAGGGGAAAAAATAGCTTGATTGAAGTGTATACATTCTCAAGGCAGCAGAAAATACTGGACATTTATCTAAAGAAGAAAGGGAGAAGAAAACTCAGTAAGAGATAGACAAATTCAAATGGGAATTTGGATACAAAATTTAATAATAACAGAAGATCAAACTGTACCAACCAAGGCAATACAGCTTTTTGGAAGAAACGATTTAACTAAATATAAGGTATTGTCCTTCATATATGGCTAGCTTGGTGAAAAGGAATGAATTCTGATATACAGAAAAGCAAGCTAAATTCAGACTAAACATTACAAATCTCATGCAGAAATCTTCAGACAGTCAAAAGTCACTTGATTTTTTGAGGAGCTTAAGGAAGGGAAGCAATGGGCATAGTTCCCAGTATGAAATGATGTCTTCTCAGAGTCCTTCTACACAGGGGTTGGGTTGCAGGCTTTAAGTTGCTGTAATGAGGTTTGCAAGT